ACTATGCTTTGCTGTGCACTGGAACCGCTACCGCAAACCACAGCACGGTGCGCTTGGAGAGAACCTTCTTACGCAGTGAGCTTGCCCGGTCCCAAGTCCGGGAGAGATGTTTTCGGAACCACCTGTACCTTTGGACCAATTCGGACTGTGCAGACAGGCGGCCGAAACCGTCTCTGGGGTGAGGGTTTGGGGCTCTGTCGACCTACATCCCCATGGAGTCGTACAACAAGTTTGCTTCGACTACACCCTTAGACGAACCAACGCAGTCATGTCGCGGGTTGCGGTGCCCGAACAGTCGCACTGCAGATGTTCCTCCAACTGCGTTGCACTCATTTTGCTTGTTTACTCTACAACAGTTGAGCTCCCGTTGCAGTGAGCTCCTTTTGCAGATTTTCTTCGCGGGAGCCCTTTGCGCTTCACAGCCGCAGCTAGTAAGGGCGAGAATGCTGCTTGGCTTATGGTGCTGCTGGATTTCCTACGAAGATGTGAGTGCTATGCAGTACTGTACAGTTCATCTAGTTTAGCCACGACATATCTGAGGTCACCTCGGTATGCCCTGCAGATAGGACGTGTGTGAGCAGCTTCAGCGGACATACGTCTGCAGGTCTGCTTTTCTCACGCTGGCTGAGGTCACCTCACCTCGCCACAAAGTCAAGTTTTTTTCCAAGTTTTCTTACGGTGCCACTTACCGCTGGTCGCAGTTAGTAAGTGCGAGAAAGCTGCTACCGCATTGTACAGCTGTTGGGATCAGGCGCACTGCTGCTTACGGGGTCTCCGGACCGAGTAGTGCGTAGCAGTGCTTCAGTTCTGCTCTCTCTGAAGAGCCGCGTATTACACCAACTGTGTTTTCACGTGCAAGCGACACGCCTGGTGAGATCTTCTCGCTGCGTCCGAAAGAAAGTTTCCATCTTGTTGTTCATATGCTGCTTTAAATAGCTCAAGCACACCCAGCTAGCAGCTTCTGCATGTTTTCCATTTTGACACCCACCCTCCACACCCTTATGTATGCTTTTGGCCTTGGGTATTGGAATGCGCAGCATGCTTTCGCTCAGCATGGGTAGCACTTTTGACCCATGGAGTCTGCCCAGCTTTCACAGGGTACTCAACTACTAATCTTTTGGCTTTCATGAGGCTTCTATGTGCTTTCATACTGTTGTTGTTGTTGCCCGGTTACCGGGGCGTTTCACCAAACTTTACACAGGGTTTGAATACGGACTCACATGCTTTTGATGCTTTGACATCCTTGCAGCTTCGCCGTCTCGCCACCAGTCAAAAAGAGAGCGCTTGTCAGTTAGTGGTTGCCCTACACGTAGCCTTTTGCTTTCTAGCTGGCTGTTGTAACAACTAAGATGCGAATGGTCAAATCCGTGATCGAACAAAAAAAGAAAATGTTCAGGGCTGGGCCAAATCAGCCAAGTTTTCTTTTGTCTCGCACAGGCCTTCAGCAGGTCACCGTGATGGCCCACGCGGAGAACATGTCTATTTGCGGAGTTTGGACCTTAACACAGTGGATGATTAAATCGAGACAAAGAAGTATGCTATGCTCTCAATTCTAACCGCCATTTTGGCGTGCTATGGATACTTCTTTGCGTTATAGGGTCTTCCCTGACGCACGCTGAGAGCGCATGATGAAGTCTCACAATGGCGTCCTAGGGTTTCCCTAACGCTTCTTTAGCATTGCACTCTACATTGCACACTCCTGCGTTGTGTGGTGTAAAAGTCCGAGCTTTTGATAGTTCGACTCACGCAACAAATCGACGCCGGGGGTGTGAAATCGCAGAACTTTCACCCTTAACCACTCCTTTGGTCGTGGTGTTGTAAGTGCAAGTTGTACTTCAACTCATCAATGTAATTTGGCCCAAGCTATCCCTTTTTAGATAGTAGGCAGTGGGAACACAATATTGAAGCCATTTTGCATTGAACCGCTTGTGAGATCTGTCGAGCTTTGACGACACCAAGGAAAGAAAACATTGGAGTGCAACTGTGGCGTGGCAAATGGAGAATAGAACACATGTTGTTGCCCAATTTGCCCAGTTACCTTTTTACAACGAAGCCCAAGCGTACAGCTTGGCCCATACGCCTTTAAGTTTTCTCTTCAGCTGATATTTATAGATTTTTTTTCACCACCCATAGGGTTTGCAGCAAAAAGCCCTAAAGGCCTCAGCCCGCAAGTTTTCAGGACCCAAGACATTCAGAGCAACCCAAGATAAAAGTCCGGCGCGCAGCATCGGTGTAGGCGTAGGGCTAAAAGCATTGCAGTTTGCTCAGAACGAAACCGGTTTCCGAAGTTTGCTGAACGGGCGTAGGGGGCAAATGTGGATGCTGATCGGATCATGAGGATGTTTTCATTGTTTCTTGAAGCGAGATGACTTGTTGGGATGACTTGAACTTGAAGTTCATGCATGTCTTCTTTAAGTTTGCCGATTTCCAGTTTGTGATCGATCTGGCCTGTACAGTCGCGTCTGCGGAGGAATGGGCTCCTGATTGGATTCGATTAAGTTTTCTGGGGTTGATCCTTCCTGTTTTCAATCATCTGTGATGGGGGAGATGTACTTTCCTGATGACACAGGTTTCGGGTTCAGCATCCCCATCAAAATGAAGTGAAGCCGCTGCTCTCAAACTTGTGTTTTTTTGGTTGAGCGTAAAAGTGCAGGAAATTCTCACTCCCGCCCTTTCTTTGCCGCAGAGTTCCCTGGACCCGTGTAGTTCCAAGTTATAGTTATAGGGTTTCGGATTTGGGGTCCCAGTGCTTTACAAAACAAGTTGGATGGGGCTTCATCTTTTGGTCTTTTGTGTCAACACCTGCCTCTTCGCGGCACGGTCTCTTAGGCTGCATGTCTGCATCAGCGATGTCTCCTGCTTGTTCAGTACATGTCCATCGTTAGTGCATGCTTTCTTGATGCTGCTTTCTTGATGCTTGACATTTTGATTGGTTTGTGTGATTGAGATTTCGAGCTGATTTTGATGGGCCGTGATCGGCTCGCTGGACGGATTTTGATGGAGCTCTTGACTTGATTTTAAAGGGTAACAGATTAGTTGAAGATTGAATATTCTTTGGAATCCCACCCGGCCCAACCTTGTTAACTCCAACCGTTTTTCCGCAGCCCATGGGGGGAGATGTGCTCTCACGAACGCTTTGTAGGAATGTCATTCGACACATCTTCAGCTCGGATTTGGATTGTGCATTTCCATCACATTGAAGTGAAGCCGCTGTTGTCAAACGCGTATGAGTGTACGTAATTCTTACTCCTTCCCTTTCCTTCCCGTAGAGTTCCCTGGACCCGTGTGGTCTCGGGTTTTCGGTTTTCGGGTTTGGGGTCCCTGTTTAAAAACAATTGTTGTCACTTGTAACAGTTCAACATCTTTTCTTGATCTTTCATTCGAGTTCGGGCTTTCTCGACTTTCAGCAGCAGCAGTTGCTGGAACTGCAAAACATCCAACATCTTGATGACAGATTTGTTGGATTTTGCAAGCAATCTATTGGAATTTCGGAATTTTGTCAGCGTTGGTGCCACCGCATGGCACATGTTTGTCTTCCGTAACATTGCTGCCTGGTCTTTTATTGGCCGGCTTCAGCTGGGGGTCCCCATGGCCGTGGCGAAGGTTGGGGCATGTTGCCAGCCATCGGCCATGAAATGATTTCGCTATGGTGCCCAGGCCTCAGACATGGCGGACATGATGGGCTGTCCTGGCGGGGTTGGTGGGGTTTCATTGTTGTCTTGGGCTCAGCTCAATGATTCCGAAATCATGGAACGTTGAAGTCGGGCAGCTGGCCATAGGCCCGCGTGCAACGTGCAAGGCAGATGCTAAAAATCACAGCGCACGCAGCTTGCAAGCTGCATTTGAACAGGTGGTTTCAGAAGATGTCCAAGCATGCCACTTGGAAATTGTGCAGGCGTACCAGGCCTGCCAGGCCAGGGGCTGTTTCTGTGCTGATTCCAGCACTGCACGTTTGACTTTAGTCGCAACTTGTGGCAACAGGATCAGGACGTTGTTTTGGCGGTAGATGCTGGAGGGGGAGATGTGCAAGGATTGCCAAATGGGCATTTGTTTCGGAACATACGCAGTACTAACACTTGGACAACTGATTCAGCACATGCGCTGAAATGTGGTTCCTGGGATCCTTGTGGCCCATTTTGCATGTGACACCGATGACACGGACATAACAGCAAAAACTACGTCCCTCTGTCGTTTTGTGTTCTGCTTCAGGAAGGCGGAGGAATCTGATGTGCCAGTGACGAGAAATTTTAAACATTCGGCCACAAATTGCAACACGTTAAAACAAAATGCCCTCCTGAATAGGGTGTATGTGGACATGCAGTTGCGGCATGGTAAAAACGTGTGGCTGAAACACGATGGTTTGCCAAATATGGGATGGTTTCCGGTTCATGTTGTAAGGTTCATGTCGTCAGGACCCAAGCAGCCACATGGCAAACAAGCTTCATTTTCACGTTGGAGCGCGAAGAATTTGGCAAAGCAAGCCCACCTCGACCTGGAATTGTGTCAACCTTGTAAATGGTGTGAGAAGCAGAGGCCATCCACGGGTTGAATTGCGGGAGCCAGAACTTCCCGAAACCCGAGTAATAGCGCCATGTTCACCATGTATTTGTTGTGGGGCATCCAGCAAAGCACCCGGATTCAATCTTTAGCCTTAGGGTTTGCATCTCAGAATTTGATTTGCCTAGTACATCTTGATAGAGCTTGTGCGCCACCAGACATTTTCTTGTTTTTTAAAGCAGAATTGCTGTGGCGTGATCCCTGAAAGTCACTTCCTGGGCACCAAATCCAACACCACAGCAAGCTGAGATTTGAGAGAATTCCAACAGCATGGGAATGCAGAAAGCTGGGCCCAGAGGTTTAGTGGGAGTACAGCATCCCCGCTACGTGGATCCCCACTAAATGGCAGATGAAATCCACGCCCGTTTTGGACGCTTGCAAGCCCAGCCGGCAAGTTCAATGCTGGACTGTTTTGACCTGACCTCCGCATTGAGCTCTGACAGGCGTGTACATCATCGCAGCGGTTTGGTCACCCGCAACAACTGGCTCCTACCAGAAGGCTGAGTGCCAATCTGAAGAAGCCAAGGTTGCCTGTGCAGCAACAACCGCAGCTGCAGCCACCAGCCCGTGCCCTGCGGATATTGAATGTTCTTGTTCGTGATGGCGTGATGCTTGTCGTTGCTTGATGGCCAAGGCTGTCAGCAGCCCGACAAAAGCTTCCACAGTAGCATCGCTTTCCATTCCACATGTGTCTTCACCGCCAATCGCGCCGCCTGAGCTTGAGGCACCAGGATTCACAGAGGCCAGGGATTCCTATGGAAATCTCATCATGAATGTGTTGGATACTTTGGAGGTGTCCGAGCCACCACCGCCACCAGCCCAAGAGCCGTCGCTGCCGGCACTGGAACTAAAGGCCTCTACTGTTTGATTGTTTGACCTCATGGATTCATGGGTGGTCAAACCGGACCAGCCGAGCTGCGCGGCTGCACGTCAGGGCTCAATAGATGTCAGTCTTCCAAGTCTTCCATCTGCCAGCTCCCCAGCTCCCCGGGCAAAGCAATTTGAGCTTGGGCCACCCTTGAACCTGCAGGTGGGATCCATGGGACATGACGAGGGCGCTTGTAAGCCCTGCGCTTTCGTCTTTAAGAAGGCAGGACAAGTGGAAGTGAAGAGAAGATCTTGCAGCTTTTCCATACATCTTGCAGGGGTGCGACAGTGGCAGCCAGTGCACCTTCTGCCACCTTTGCCCACCAGGCATACCAGTGGCATACCAGTTACCTCCACTTGCTGAGCTACGCTGCTTTGAACATCTCAGGTGAAAAGAAGCGCCGCTCAAAGGAAAGGGGCGCACTGAAAAAGGCAGCAGAGGCAAGCACAGGGGATTGCGTTTTGGTGGATGGGTTCCAATCCACTACCCTTGCTAGCGCTCTCTTGCAACTTGCTATGAGACGTGGTCGATGCATGGTCAGCCGGCTAGCCACACATCCACAGATGTACAGCCTTTTGACGCAGAAGTCGGAAACAACTTGCACAATGGCATCTTGAACTGGAGGGTTCTTGCTTAAGGATGCAGCTAGCCCGGAATCTGGCTGAAGTAGTTGAATCAGCAAGTTTTTTCATTATACGTGAATTCGAATGGACTGCAGCCCACCAGCGTGTTTTTAGCCTTCTGCTTTCAGGGTACGACCACGCCGTGAACTTCATGCCAGGCCGCCGTCTCTTTTTGTCAGGGGGCCAATCTTGCCAAATGTCTCCTTGCCGCCCCCAACAGACCATATGCAAAGCACAAGCTTCTCTGCTTAACGAGTTGGACAAATGTCGTGACCTCTTAAGGAAGCTTGTGTTCTTTGAACAAGGCAGTTGTGGTTTGTTCGAAAACCTTGCTCGCAAACCTTGCGTGAGGCGTTCAAGTAGTAGTCGGTGATGTTTGTGTAGGGTCTTGGGCATTCCTGTTCTCGCACACAGGATTCGGCAGGCCTCCAACTTTGCAGCTTCCCAGCCTTCAGGCCGCACAATCTCCATGGACAAAGTGAGCAGAAAAGTGCCAGCTCTCTGCGCTGTATTTTCCAAAATCGACGGCTTCGTACGGATTCAGTAAATCAGATTCGTGATTGTTGGTCATAGCTGACACGGCTCGCGGAAGCTGTTTTGTCACCATAGCTTCCAAGAAGACTCGTCTCAGCATGTTTTTGACTGCCGTGAAGATCTTGGTGCGCTTCCTGCTTCTGTGGAGTAGCTAGTGATACTGCCCTCCCTCTTGCTCAGCTGCCGTGGCTTATCAGCAGGTTGCAAATTCAGAGCCAATGAGATCCAAGCTGTTCTCAGTCTGCGTTGTGTTCAGCTTGCTTGCAGATTGCCAGGGTCCCAAGACTCTTCATTGCGCCATCTTGCCTTTTTATGTGCCAGTGGCACTGCTTGTTTTCCAGCAGTCCGTCGGCCAAAGATACCGGCATTTTTGTTCTTGTGGGATGCCCAAGGCATGAAGTCCCGCTTCACCTACAACAGCGCGTGCGCTTGTTGAAATTGGAATTTGCTCAATTTTGTTGTGACTAACTCGGAGAAGCTCTCTGACAGCTTTAGAGGATCTTGCGACGCCTGCATGGACGCTTGATCCGGCTGTCTAGTTTCATTTGTGTCACCGACCTTGTCAGAGTTCCGCTGCGACAGAGTCCGGGCAAAAACTCTTCAAACCAATCCTTCGGCCACAAAGTGTGGGGCCTGGGCTGGACAGATGAGGGCTCAGCCGGGGTAACAGTAATCCTTCCGACGCTGTAGTATTGGAGAAGCCTGGCACCTTGAGTAAGTTACCCTCTGAACCCAAAGCCAGCAGGGAAAGCAGAAGTTGCAAGAAGGGGAGAACGGCCATGTAACTGTCGTAATGTGTTCCATGAGCCCTACGGCATTTTCGCATTTACAAAAACAAGGAGCACAGGAAACCGCTCCATGGGCGCCTTCCTGTCGAGATGCAGCTGGTAGTTCCTAGATAAGTTCGATGGGCTGCTTGATAGTGAAGATTTAAGGGTGACCAGCGTGAATGAATTCGCAGTGAATTCGGCTCATACTGCAGCAATGACTCAATGCAGTGTCTACCAGGCAAAGTGACCCAGCATTTGCGAACACTCTCATGGACACTGGCAAGGTTAATTGCAAGTATAATGGCAAGTACAACGGCAAGTAAGCAAAGCTTGATTCTCGATTGGTGACAAGAGCGGCGTCTGGCCGCCTTGTAGACATCCAGGACATGAGAGCTGGAGCAGCCTCTTGACAATACACCTACTTGAGACCTCTAGAACAAGTCAGGCCGAGAAGCGTAAGAGCTGCAAGGCTTGGTGAGACTCTGAAAAGCTGGTGGGGTATCTTAGATCATTTTCACTTTACTGTCCTGTCCATCAAGGTAGTTGTTCAGACATCCATGAGAGAAACGTGAAGAATCTAACAGAACAAAGTTTTCCGGGGAATGAAACATCGATGACAAGCAAACTTGCGCGATGAGTTGCGACCACCAGACCCACCAAGTACTTGTGTTTCAAGGGGTAAGATGGTTGGAGACCAACATGCTCAGAACCATACGCTTGTATGGCTGACCTCTGGCTGTAGCAGTCGGCAGACCATAAGCTTACCATCACTCACTAGCACTCTTTCAGTGGAATTCTTTGGAAAATTCCAACTGACCCCACCTGCTTGATCGCCCCTTAATAGTAGACCCAAGTCATACATGCACTCATTCCAATACCATTATCTTTTATCCGTTTTCATAGGGGGTGGAGGATCCGGGATAATAATTGTTAAAAGAGTGCATTGCTGTAGTAGGGATAGCGCGTGGCTAGGTAGCGATATATGTGCAGTTCAGAGAACCTTTGTTGCATCCAAGTCCATGAGATAACCACATCTAAAATATCAGGGCATTCGTGCGTAGTTGTGAGTGGCGTTATTTTCAGACAAGCCAGGCAGCTTTGACTCTACCAAGCTACACTTCATCCGGATGTGTCAGGCAAAGTCTTCCCTGTGATGTGGGCGAAAATCTTCTGACCGTGTGTCATGGTCCAGTTCCTTTACTGTTGGGACAGCACAGTGAAAGTGGCCACAGCCCGGACTAGTCAGAAACTTGGAGCAGCCTAAGTCCCGAAAGACTTACAAGTAAGACAGTCAGTAACATCAGTGGTGGGCAACGTGGTAGCACGGTTTGGGGCATCAGCTACAGGTGCCCAGGTTTGATCTCGAAGAACGGAATTGGACAAACCCAGGCGTCACGTCGTGAGGTACAGATGTTCAGCGTTGCCATGCGCAACACGACCGTAAGATAAAGCAAAGACTTTCCCTAATGGCTAGTATGGGACTGCTCATGGCCCGAGGTTTCGAACCGTAGGGGCAGAATGTCTTGACGAGATCTGAAGGATGTCGGCCACGGAGCTGGACAGGGCCTTGCATGCCAGTGTGGTTGCCCAAGCCTGTGTGTTTGACGCACATGCGGCAGCTGCTTGACCACGACAAAAGGTGTTGAAACGGGAGGCGGCAAAGGAGGCCGAGTTCCGGGAAGCTCGTGCAAAGCACGAGGACGAGGCACTGCGAGTGTCAGTTTCCGGCATTCAACAGTGATGTGGAGTAGGTACGCCTTGGTTTCGGTGCAACGGACATGACCAAGCAAGAGCTGCGGAAAATCATCGACAGTGCAGGGGTCCTGTGAGTGTTAGAACCTACTTCCTGTCAACACGCGCAGTGAAATCACGACTCAGGACCGACGAATGTATTATCGCTCAGAAGAGTTGAACGACAAACTGTTCATCCACTACAAGGCAAACCGGTAAACCCAGGTGCAATCTGCCTGTCCATCAAACCTTTTTTGGCAGGGCTGGAAAGAACTCAAGAATCTTGAGGGCTGGACTGGCATCCTTCTGAAGCAGCTGTCAGCATCATTTGAGCGTTTCTTCAGCTGAACTGCTGCTATTGCAGAGGACTGGCCTGAGGGCACTCTATGGCGAGTGCAACGCCTTTGACCGCATCAGTGGATTATCTCAATGCCGAAACCTTCGAAGCCTTTTCTTGCAGGACGCTGATTTGACAGTAAAGCAGGTTGTGTTGATTTTTTCACGCCCGTGGTTGCTGGTGTGCTTCTGTTCCGCTGCAATCGACTAAGACCAGCTCCACCAGAACAGAACGCTGGCACCATCAGGTCCTGCGCCGCAGCAGCAGCAGCAGCAGCAGCAGCAGCCACAGCCACTGGCGGTGCCAGAAAATCTAGCAACTTCATGTACAGGGAGCAGTGGCAGCGTGAACCTCAGCAGCAACAGCAACAACGATGCTGCAGCCGGAGCAGAGTACCATGGTCAACGAAGACAACATTAACAGCATCAATGGTGTTTCGTTCACCAGTCAACAGTTTCCTCATGCGTGGCATGTGTTTGTCATCAATTTGGTATACAAAGTTCAGTTGCGAATCAAGGAGAACTGTATTCACAGGTCGATGGCTGAGTATTCGTCTGGGTGGTGTGGTGGCCCCATAATTATGATCAGAAGTGGGCTGCCCAAGGATACAAGGACTTGAGGGCTGTCCATTGCTTTGGAATCTCAACCTGAGCAACAACTTCATTGAACGTGCGCGTCTGAGACCAGCCTTCAAGCAAGCTTGCAGCAGGTAAATTTGATTTCTGCTGCATTCCGCAAGGTATTGAGGGGCTGTCACAGTTGAGATCTTTGAACACCCTCACCATCCAGAAGAACAAGATTGGCTTTGCAGGACGCCGCGCGATCATGTATTCCTGGAACTGGAACTCAGTTTGCTTTAGCTGTTAGGCCGTTCGGCCCTTTCGGCTTATGGCTGATTTGCTCCACCACAGAATTGAGTATTTCATGTTTTGGCATCAAAAGGCTGAGTACGTTTGGGGTGAAATTTGCTTTGGTATTGCTTTGGGAGGCCTCCGAAACGCATTTGGTTGTGACATGCTGTACAAGATGCAAACCGCGTAATGCAGAGCTGTCTGAGCCTGCGCAAGAAACAACGACTTTCTAATCTTTGCCTTGCATTATATGGTTGAGGGTTCCTGCCGAGGAACAAAAACATTTTTTGAGACCATGGAAACGGTGGGAGGGCAAAACTTGGATCTCATTTGCCTGAAGCTTGTTTACTGATGATGTCATTTGCTTTGGGCTGTTGGCCTGGACGAGCTCATATGATGAATTTGATGCTGTTGGCGGGGGGTAGTGATGTGCTGCTTGATGGTTGCTCGATGACCAGGAGGTATCTCTTTCTGAAGTTGAACTGCTGGGTCCTCGCAGTCTTCAGTGCCTTCTGCTATTGCTGCATCAAGTTTTCCTGTCCTATCGGTATTCCAAGTATTTTGTTTGATGCATTACAGCAAACACTATGTTCTTTACACATATGTTTCTGTATGTTTCTGTGCTTGGGGAGCATTGAGAAAGGGAGTATTTTTTGAGAGCCGTGTGGGGGTCCTCAACCTGATTAAAATGGAGTGCGGCGGTCCTGATTGCGCAACGAAGCGGTCACGTTTGATTGGAAGAAAGCCTTCGACAGCATAAATGTAGACAGCTTACTTGATGCCCTTCATCATTTCGGCGTTCCTGATCCCTGCTTGCACATGGTACGCAACATGATGCTACATCGAAGTTTCTATGTTGAAGACCAAGGGGTCACGTCTGCCAAAACAGTTCTCAGATCAGGCATCTCCCAGGGCTGCACGCTGAGCCCGCTGTTATTCATCATCACCATGACTGTTTTGATGCATGATGCTGTTTCGAACTTGGATGCACTTTCTCTGGCTGCCTACCACCGTGGCGATCTGGCGGATATTGTTTATGCTGATGACATCCTACTTCTTGTCTGTCCCGATGTGCGTTTACAAGAGTTTCTTTCAAAAATTGCTGAAGCTGTCACAACTGTACGGGATGGAGTTTCACTGGGACAAGTTTCAGCTACTTCAGGTTGAATGCCAATCCATTCGCACACCATCAGGGGATCGCATCGAACTCAAACAGAACATCGACTACCTTGGTTCCATTGTCAGCTGTGACGGTCTGCCTGGGCATGAGCTTGGTAGGCGAATTTGGATGGCAAAGGCTGACTTCCTCCAATTGCAAAAGGTTTGGAAACATTCGTCGTTACCCATTGAATGCCGGCGCCTGGATGGCTTTCAAAACCGATGCCCTCGATGCATTCTTGGGATTTGTCCTGCATTTATTTCTCGAATTTCCAATGCGTGTGTCCTTCGCCGTGCGGGTTGTCAAGCTGCCACTAACGAGCTCAACTTTTTCTTTTTGGTAAGGTCTTGAGATGTCCAGTTGAGCATCTGATGCATCAGACGTCTTTCATCCCCGGAACGCTGCAACCGGCAACCAGCAGATACATCAGGAGGGTGGGGAGGCCGAGTCCACGTGCCGCCCGGCGTATGACTGACTGACTGACTGACTGACTGACTGACTGACTGACTGACTGACTGCCGGCCTGCCTGCCTGCCTGCCTGGCTGGCTGGCTGGCTGGCTGGCTGGCTGGCTGGCTGGCTGACTGACTGACTGACTGACTGACTGACTGACCGGCGGCGGTCTTGATACGATTTACGCGTGTATGGCCGCAGCCGTTTCAGGGGCTTACCGTAATCTGCTTGACTTTGATGGTGCATTGGATGATGGAGGTGGTGCATTGGTGTAGGTCGGTATGTTTTGGGAAGTAACGTGGATGCCGGTGCCGTGACCTCACACTTGATGCGTTTGCCCATTGGCCTTTGGAAGATTTCCGTGGATACGCAAGGAAAAGTTCCCCAAGTGTGGGTACCTATCGCTGAAGGGCATGAAGTCTTCGTTCTGGGAGAAACTTCGATGGGTTTGGGGGCTTCTTTCACGAAATACCCACGGGCCAGATGTGGTGACGGTGCTAGGGGTCAATGGACAAAAATGACTGGTCACGCTATTCCTTTTTTGGGATGGCCCACTCAATATGCAGGCTTGCAGTGCCATCCATTCGGGTTGACCTGGAATGAGCATTGCGATTCCTTGTGCGCGTGCATCTCCCGCTTCCCAGTGCATGCACAGCTGAGTCCGCGACTGCCTGTTCATGCGCTATCCCTGAGTTTCAGTTGAGGAACAAACTCAGAGGCATCATGATGAAACGAGGTTGTGACCAGCCCTGAAGCAACACCTTCCAGTTCATCAGGCCGAAAATGTGATGTGGGATCGATGGCAGGTAAGCCTTGCTGTTGCTACAGCATTGAGAGAGCGGCAACTGTGTGAACAAGGTTTGAGGCTTTCATGTTTTGTGGGGACACGATGCCCAAGCCACATTCCAGCTTAGATTTTTCTTGCCGCAGCAGAACAAGGGGCCTCGGAGGCATCAACCTTGCAGGGGTGAGGTAGCTTTTCTCTGGTGCAAACATCCTACAGCTGAAGTGAGGATCGGAAGCCGCAGCCATCTCGTCATCGGGATTGGGAGAAGCCCCTCCCACTTGACCCCACATGGGAAACACCATGAAATTACGTGAGCTTTTTTGCGAACATTTTGCCAGGAGGACCCTGTCAGATACATCGAAAACAGGGTAGCCCAACCCTGTGGCCAATTGGACAGAAGTGTCCGAGTATCGACTTGACGCCCGAGGGGCTAACAGTGGTTGAAGTTGCATTCCAGGAGGATTTGCCGAAATCCTTTGAACAGCGCGTTTACAAGTCAACTTGGGCAATGCCCCTGTGCGTTGGGTTCACATTTTTACAGCCAGCAATACTTTTACCACCTGCAGCGGCTGGATGTGGCTCAGCGTGTGCGATTTCAAAACTATGAGGGTCTGGAGGGAAGCCACGCTGCCATTCGCCCCTTCCTCACTCTGTTTCTTTGCTTCTGATGGGAGACCGACTCCTAGACTCCTAGCCCCCCTTGGAGCCCACTTTTTGCATTGCTTCTGTGGCTTGCGCAAGTTTCGTTTGGCCTGTCGAGTTTTGAAAGACCTCCCTCTTTTCTGGGAAGGCGTTGTTGCAGTTCAATCTTCGAGCTTGGCGGCTTGCCCAATTGAACCTCAGGGTTTTTTTGAAGACTTGTTTGACCTTCTCAACCCTCGTCTCCTGATTTTGAATGTCGGCCAGGACGCTTTGCGCATCCCGCAAGCCGCAAGAGGCTTTTATGCCGATTTTTGCTTTGTCACAGTTGCTCATTCTTGTGCCCCTTCCTGATCCTTTGTGCTTATTGTACTGGACCTACTGCCCATGTTGTCGGGGCTCTACCCCGGCAAGTCACAGCAGGCGATGGTTTTCAGGATCCACGCCATGATTGCCAGGGTCTGTTCCCCATTAGTCGTCAAGACATCCCCATCCAGTCCTTCTGGGGCAAGATTTCTGAACGCTCGCTCTCATTTTTGAGGGTGATGACCTCGCAATGGGCTTCACGTCTTTTCCAGCAAAGGGCAGAGAGAAGGGAACGAGCAAGAACAGTATCCAGGAAACCTGTCACTGCGAAATGGGAGGTGAAGGGCAAGACCCCGTCCAAGAGGATGATAGCCAATCCGACATCCGAGGAAGCGAGTTTCGCGCCAGGTGTCGCACGTCGCACCATCCCCAGCCTCGCTCAAAATACGGCCAAGACACGCCTCGTGTGACTCATCTCCTTGCCATGGTTGCCATGCTACCTTGTCAGCCCCCTGAAGCGGAGATCACCGACAACATCCACGAAGAAGGTGAAATCATGCGTGGGGCCGCCTGCAGCTCTCACACGGTGCCGTGCCGCAGCATCTGTTCTGACGGTGGAGTTGCCTTCCTGCTGCAAACCTCATGTGTCCATCAAATCTGAGGCAACGACGGCGCTTTCAATAACCCATGCCTGAAAGCTTTGGCCAGGGTGTTTCCGCGCTTTATCCCGCCTTTTTTTGCAATAGCCCCAATCAAAACTAGCGCGAACAACATAAATTTCATTCCCCAAGCTTTTTAAAAGGGGCTGGGGGCACTTTCGTTGTCAAAGGAGCCGAGGAGGTTGAAGTAAGAGCAGTTGGTGTGTAACCCAGCGAAGTGGTAGAATTTCTTAACCAAGGGAAAGTACAGTTACATTTGTTTCTGGATTCGTCGGCAGCAAGAGGCGTGATTGCGCGTAGAGGTGTAGGAAGAATCAACCACATTCAGACCAGGGCATTGGTTCTGCAAGATTTGCGCAAGCAAGGCGCAGCTCGCCCAGTAGGAACAAACGAGAACACCGCCCGATCTTGGAACAAAACCACTTTCAGGAAGCCGCGTCCGTTTGCTCATGGGATGGCTAGTTTTTACACTGATGGAAAACCCGATGGCGATAAGGAAAAGCATGAACACATCGAAAGCAAGCAACCGAAAGCAATGGTTCGACGTGTCCGTTTAGGAAACGTTGCGCTAGCAGCGAATCTGCTAGGAACCAGTTTTGTAGGAGGTGAAGGTGTAAAGGTTTTACCAGGAAATGCAGTTCAGCCATGTCACTTTGCAAACATGTCATATGCAATCGTGTTGAAGGAACATGTCAGTCATGATGCGTTCAGTCATGTGCAGGAACATGTGTGCCCAGTGTTGCGTTGCGCGCAGTCTGCAAGGGTGAGAAAGAGAGAAGGAATTGAGCGCTGTGTGGCAAAATTTTTCAGTCAAGGAAAACACGAGTAGAGAAGGACAAGTTTGTAGGAAGAAAAGAGAGGTTAGGAAGTCTAGGCTTGGAAGCTGAGGAAGGCAACACTGGCGAACCGGCGAGCAAGCTTCTCAGGAAATAGACAGGATCCTCACTATGCAGGAAGCTATCCTCATGCAAGGCGATGTGAAAGAATTGGTGGCAAAGGTGGCGACCCTGGAGAGCTATGTGGTGTACACAGAGGAAGAAGAAGAGGAAGCCGCAGAGGAGAAGGGAAGGGCAGATGAGCCGCAAAGTGGAAGAACAAGAGAAATGAAAGAAAAGTACACGGAAGGCAGAGCGCGCAAGGAAGAGCAGAAAGAAAAGAAAAGGAAGGAACGGGAGGATACAACAGTTCACAAAGCAGCATCAAAAGCAGAACCAGTTCCACTAGCAGGAAAAATCAGTGCCTGTGAAAAGTCCACCGCCAAAGAAGACAGAAAAGGACAAGAAGATTGAGGAGTTGAAGAAGATGAAGGAAGAAGCAGCCAAGAGGAGAGAAGATCTCAAGAAGCAACTGGAGAAGGAGCTTGAGGAAAGGCTGAGGAAAGCTGAAGAGGAGGATGAAGCAATGATCAAAGCTGAAGAGGGTCAACAAAGTTTTGAAGAAGGAGCAGAGAGGATCAAAGGAGCAGGAGAAGGAAGTCTGCCAGCAAAAGCACCTCCGCGTCACATGCTATTAGGATTGAGCAAAGATGCGTGGATAGCAGCAGGAGTGCCAAGAGCAAGCAATGAGAGAGTTGACAACTGGTTTGAGAAGTACAAGCAGAAATAGCAGCGGCAAGGAGAAGAGGAAGACAATAAACCACAAGCAGCAGCTAAGGCAGCAGCAGAGGAGCAGGAAAGAAATGAAGAACAAGCAAAGGCAAGAGCAAGAGCAGTTTTAGAAGAAGCAGCTGATGCAGAGGAGGAAAGACCAAGAAAGGGGAAGCCCAGGAATGTCAATGAGGAGAACAGGCTCAATGCACAGGAAACAAGAGCGAAGGAGCAAGGATTGAGCTACCCATATGATCCAACTGAGTGGGTAGAGTTCATTGAATATGGTCGTGTCTATGACTACAACAAGGTCACCCAGGAAAAGATTTGGAGAGGAGTTGAAGCAACCTACAAGTTCCCGAAAGGGACAGGACAGTTTGACGCAGGATGACGCAGCGGCAGAGGAAGGTGGAAGATACCAAGCAGCAGCAGGGTCAAAAGACCCAGCAACAGCAGCAGATCCACCAGCAGAAGGAAACCCAGCAGCAGCAACAGTGGATAAGGATCCGCGGCAGCAGCAAGGAGCAGATGTGATGAGTTCCAATTAGCAGATGAAGCAGACACAAGTCCGCAAGGAACACCAGGAACACAGCAGCAGCAGTAGGATGATGCAGTTCGTGTCAGAACAACAAAGCTTGAGAGCTTGAGAATGAGCACAAGGAAATGGTGAATGATTTGAGGATCAGTGAAAAGATTAAGAAGGATCAGCAAAGAGCAGTTTTTAAGAGAGCATGAAGCATTTGAATGTTTCTGACAGTTTGTAAGAAGAGTTGAAAAGGCCTCGACAAGAGCTTGAAGCAAGGAGCAAGAAAGACCAGGAGGCTGAGGAGAAGAAGGAAGGAAAGTGCAACCACAGGAAGCAAAGCCGAAGGAAGAGCAAGCAATCACAAGAGTAAAGGAAATGTAAAAGGAAAGGAAGACCCCGACGCCAGCGCTGACCAGATAGAGTTCTAGGAGTTCAGTGGCGAGATGTACACGTGGTGGAAGAATGCCAGGAATGAGAGTGGCTCTGGCAGGACAAGCAACACCCGACAAGACGGACAGTTCACAGGAAACTTCCAGTGAGGAAGAAAGCTGGAAAGGAAAGCGACACCAAGACCGCCAAAATCCAGGAAGTCCTCACCAACGATCACTAGTACCAGAGCATGTGTAGAAGGAATGTAGTGTGTTGTTTGGTTTTGGTTTAAAGTACAAACATTCACGCGGCAGGGGTGTTTGACAAAATTGTATGGTTCCCCCTTTGTAGCTGCCTCTACCAAAAATTGTTCACAGGCGTCAACTCCAAAGATTGCGAGGACAGAAAAGCGATGCCCAAAAAATGAGGTTGAACCCAGGTTTCAATGTTCATAAATTATGCGGGATGGATTTGCGAATGTTTGTGTTGCTTGCTTCTTTGCTGATCTCACAATTGGGATGCAGTTGGGCAATGTTCATGTGACCATGCTGCGATGACATTCTCGGTTTGCTGAGACCACCCCAGTCTTGCTAAAACAGGCTTTGCGCTGGATCTGGCAAGCTCTACAAGTGTAGTGTGGTTTGAAAGAGCAAAGGGGCAGGGCCAGGGGCATAGGGTGACTTGTGAGGCTGTGGGCAACTTTAGAGGGATGCTGGGGTCCGGAAACCTCATGTGTAAATATGAACTACCGAGCCTGATCTATATATGCGAGAGCGACATGCAACTGTTCAGGTGTGGAAGATGTTGTTCATCTTGTGGACACCACGATTTCCACGCTGGACCTGCAAGATAACAAGCTTTGGGATCCAGACATTTTGCCCGAGGCAATGGTTTTTGCATAGCAGCGCTGTGTGACTTTGGTGCGGTAGTCTCGTCAAGTGCAGGTCTTTGCCCGCATGGCGGACCTGCGCGTTCTTTACCTCAAGGGCAATCCTTGTGCCAAGAAGATCCCAAACTACAGGAAGGGCATCACGGCAGTCTGCCAGAACTTGAAGTGACCCTTGGTTTTGTTTTGCTGGGCTTGCCTTCTCGCAGTAATTTTCGATGAATAGCATGTTCTGACAGCTGCAGTCGGCGAAGATATGGAGGTACCTTGATGACCGGCCAGTTTTTCCCGAGGCTCACAATGTCTTTCAGGTATCAATTCGTAAGCTGTGCTCCATGGTGCTATGGCAGTTTCCCTCCAAATCAAGGAAGATAATGCGTAGAGATGTTTTGCAATCCTTTTTGTCAAGGACCGTCGGACCGCAGATGCTTTCAATCGTGGAGGCAGCTGTGTACGTAGGCCTCAGGCCTTGCGCCTTAACGAGCGGCCTCCAAGCCGTCTTCTTGCTGTGATTGTGTTTAATTACTTCTCAAGCTCTGTGCTAAGTCATCGACTCATCCAACACAACAGGATGGGTCCCATGAGAACATGCGTGTGCAGGCCTGGAGGAGGAAAGGGCAGAGCGGCGCAGAATCAAGGAGGCGCAGAACGTGTGCGAGAAAATGCATTGCAATTGGCACGTGCCAAGGAGGAGAATGCGAAACATGAGCGCAACATGAAGGCCTTCCAGGCAACAGCGCGCTGAACAAAAAGCCGCGCGGGATGCACTTTCCTATGGCGTTCCTTCCTGCAAAGGAGATGATTGAAAACGTTAGGAGAGAGAAGCGGGAAAGAGACGCCATGCGTGTTGAGGAGCCTGAGCTGGTGTTTTCGCACAATCTGTTGTCATGCCTGAAGATGTTCCAGGACAAGTTCACCGATGCCACTGACCCTGTAGTGACGCACGATCAGCGCATGCAGCAGCAGGCTGGCCTCATCATTTGAGCATGGAAGAGGGCTACAAGATGTGCCGTGGAGCGTGTGCCTCGCTGACGCTGATCAAGATGCTTTTGCCTTCAGCATCTGATAGAATGCTGTTGCAAGCTCTGCATCGGCGCTGAAAGTGATAGTGGCATGCTGCTGCATGAATGTTGTTTGCTGATTTTGCAGGTTGAGAAGTGGAAGGAGGCGACTTTGCTTGCATACGCGACTGCCCGAAGTTGCTTGATGTTGGACATCTGAGGAGAACGCCGAAGACCTGAAGGATGATGCACGCGAACATGCAGAGAAGTGCTTGCGAAGCGAGCGAAGCGAGAAGGAGACAAGGCAGAAGGGTGAAGGGTTTGAAGGGTTCACAGGGTTCGAAGGGTTCAACCCGCAGTTGCAGTGTCCCCGTCTTTCCCGCAATTCTTTGAATGCTACAAGCTGCAGCATGGACTGATCAGGAGTGCAGACAGCGATGGTGGAGAATCTCCTGTCTCCGGTTTGGCACCCAGCCTTGGTGATCGGAGCGCAAGTCAGCGATCCGCCCGCGCCAAAAGGAGAAATGGACTCCAAAGACGAAACCCATCCCGAGCTCGCCGAGCTTGAGAGCGAAACACGAAAAGAAGATCAGAGGAAGTTGGTCTACGAGGCGGATTCATCATAGAATTCCGTCAGAGTAGCGGAATGAATGTGCTGCAGGACATATGGGACTCGCCATCCACCACAACAGACCATCACTCTGGAGGAGACCTTTTTTTTTGTTTGGATTCTCCCCTGAAGATGCATCAGCTTCTTGCTGCGGTCCGTGGAAACCTTCACTTATCGTAACTTCCACCTCTCCCGTGATGACATTTTCATTGGCATGATAAGCCAGCCCTTCAGAACTTCAGATCTTGGACAGAATTTCTAAACTTGTCCTGACCCCTGGGATGAAGCAAAGCATCATGCGCGCCGCGCATAGAGGCAGGCACTGTGAATAATGCACATCGCCCATGTTTGAAGGCACCTTGGAATCCTCCCCTGTGCAATCCGTGGCCCTCCAGCACCCACAAGCCAGCTTGCCTAGGATCCCATATCCTGGGACGGGGTCATGCGCCCTGGCCCTGGGTAATGGGAAGTCCTGGGCAAGCTGATTGGTCTCCTGCACGGCACTCCTGTTCAAGATGATGCCAAACAGGGGCTGTCTCGCCACAGCGTGGGTTGTCCGTTGACTTCACTATGCCCGCGCTTGGTTAGAACAAAGTGCCGTGGTCAGCGCTCACCATGACTGCTGCGCTGTCAGCCAGCGCATGCAGCTGGTGCCCGGGCTCACTGGCCTTGGACATCATCAGCATCGTTAGGGCTTCCTGGATTCCTGTAGTTGGCAATTATGTACCCTTTTTCCGCAAGGCCCTAGACAGGATTGATTTAGCTCACGCACGCGTACGTGCTCTTGCTGTTTGTTTATGGGGCAGTATAGAAACACCAAGCACCCCATATATATATATATATATATATATGGGAAGACATGTGTGGCTCAGTCCGTTGCAGAGTTCCAGGAGCAGGCCCAGCAAGGCTGTCATTTCAACCTCCGTCAAGGTGCGTTTCAGAAAAGGGGATGCCTGTGGGATGCCTGGAGAGTCCTGCAACGTATGCTGTGTGTCTAAGTTTGAACATTTGCCAGGCGTTCTGCGCCGATACCGATGTCTGCAGAAAAGGCAGGTGCTCAGAGCATACACATCTTGAGGAGGCGGGTTTCATATGCAGGTATCATCTTCCACGGCTATGGCCGGTGGCACAGAGTTGCATGATTTGGATTAGGACAGGTGTGTGTGGGAATTCAAATTTATCTCATGCATGCAGGGAAGCAGTTGACTCAAATATTCATTTAGCTCGTGCATTTCAGCTGGCTGCTTCCCTGGGTCGAGGTAGGCCTATGTGCCGACTTCGGCTTGTTTCACAGACCAGGCACAAGCACAAGTTGCGGGCGCCCGCGAAAAGGTCACATAACTCTTGTATCTTGTGCTGCAGTTGAGCAATTTTGGGGACTGGCATCCAAGTTCTGCGTCCTTTGTCTTGGCTGTCAGCCTGCACTCGCTGCCCACGCTGAAGTTGTACATCGTTGTACGGTGTCGCAAGTTCTCAGCTGCCTTGGTGCGGACTCTATCCAGGCAGTCACTGAATCTGCTGAGCCACCATCGATCAGACAACCATTGCAATCGTCCAGGCAAACCAACGACGCTGTTCACAATAATGCCCTTGTCTTGACAGCGCACATTGAGCGCACACACTCCATGGTCCAATACCAGGACGTGGTACGACGCTTGATGCAAGTTTCAGCTGAACCGTAGCTTGGGAGAAGTCTCAATAAGCCCCAATGTCTTTTTCACATATGCGCTTGGTGTGGTGGAGCTTCGGAACAGTTCTTGCTTCAAAGGATGCAGTTGGAGCCCTCGGTCTACAGACCTTCTGCATCTGAACACGTGCTCCTTCGCAACAAGAAATCGTTTCAAGTGCCGGCAACTCTCCCCACAATCTACACCAAAGGGTTGCCAGTACCCTCTGTGCCGAATTGGAGAAATCTTGGTAACGTGCACCTAAGCCCCTGCCGTGGGAAGTTGGGAGCTCGATCGTTCTGCGAACATTCAGACTTAGTTTTGGGGAGGATTGGGACATTCCGTGTCGTACTTATGGAAAACTGTCTCAGGGTTGGGTCCCGGCTCAGCTCACGAGGTCGGAGCTTTTATGGGAGCATCTCGGACTTAAGGAATGGCTTGAGGAACTCATCCAGGGAGCTGAGAAATCACGCCACGGCCTCCAGCAGCACTTGCACGGGAAAAGACAAAGAGACAAAGTGTCAGAAAGAGCTGGGGTGAAGAGAAAAGGTCGGCAACTGAGGCAGAGGGAAAAAGGAAGAAGGGAGACGAAGCCAAGGCAGGTGGCCAACTGCCGGAAGGACAACCGCTGGGAGACGACAGTATTTGTTTGGCGTGCACCTTCAATGCGAAGAAAGGCCCACACCTATGGCAAAAAATGCCAAAGGCATGTGGCCGGACACGGTGCCGGTACCAATCTTTGGGCTTGCCCAGGTCGGGGTATCGTTGCAAACTCATCTTCCCCCGGCTCCATGTAGTAAGCTTGCTTCATCATGTCCCAGGATGCAGAGCTCGGGGTGTTTGAGTAGCTTCTCTCCTTTGAGCGAAGGATGAAGGATCCACGAGGGGCAGACCGCCGCGCGGTCCCAATTTTGAACCCAGGTCTCATGTCCGGGAGGAAGACGAACAACCTGGACCGAAACCCGGGCTTCTTCTAACTCCTTCGGTGCTGTGTTGTTCAGCCATTGGGCCAACCAAGCTGCAGCCATGTTTGTGAACCGGAGGAGTGGGCGCAACGCTGGCCCAAGGGACGGGCAAGTTCAGGTCGCCCGCGTTCAACCCGATCCGGCGCTCTCATTGCGGCGGCCATCTTGGGAAATACCGCGGATACGACCACCGAAGAGATACCAAGGTCGCTCAGCCCCACGACGGTAAAAGGGTCGAAGGCGGACCAGCACCAAGCGCCTGAGGAGTCGATTGCCTCTTCCTTGCTGGGGTTCAAGGTGTCATCGGGCCGGACCGCCCGCCACTTTGCTCGTCCACAGAGGAGACCTGTCGCCCGGATGGCTTTGATCCCAGGAGTAGGCCCACTCAGTTGGGCTTTAAGGGCGGGTGCCAGATCTGCGTCCGGATATGTATGAGCGCTGTCGCGGCGTCAGCTAAGTAGCGTTTCCTTCCCACGTCCGCTAGACCTTGATCTTCCTCAAATAGCCGGGTTGGATCAGGCAGCTTTGTCTTGACAACTCTGAGCCGCGAAGGCATGTTGCTTCTCCTGAACCATCAAACCAATTCGCTCCGTCTCGCAAGGTTGCAAACCAATCAGTCTCAGATTCAGACTCCGGGTCAAGTGCCTTCAGTACTCCTTGTTCTTGAATGCGCCGGGGTTCACCTTCCGAGGTAGGTCGGCGTTGACCAGCGTAGCAAGAACGGTGAAGACGTGAAAGCTGAGCTTCCAATTGGCGCAGACATTGTACCGCTAACACGCCCAAGCTCCATCTGAAACTCGGTAAGAAGCCATAATAGGCCCCTAGATCGACCAATGCCTCTGCGTCGACCGCGGCATAGCAACAGCAATGCAGTCCTGGCCCTCCATTACAAGGTACTTGCCGACAAAGATGACTCTGACTCTCATGCTCAGGCATTTCTCGCGCGCGACGGGTGGTCTGTGAGTAGCCCAAAGAGCATGTCGATCAATCTTCGCCCTTCTCTTCGGGTCCAGTTGTAGCCGTGCTACCCCAGACTTCGCGGGCGAAGGTTGCATTCGGGCCACTTCCACTGGACTTCGAGAACTCCCACCCACCAAGTCTGATTTGGAGGGTGTCCTCCTGCTGTTGAGTTTCCATTCGCTGAGGACCCAACAGAAGAGGAGGACGGGTTGCTTTCATTCTGGCATTCTGGGAAGCAAGGGTGGGTACCCACCATCCATACCCTGGCGCTCTGCATAAAGGTAACAATCCAAGCCACACCACGCGCGTGGCTGCATTATGACACTGGCTATACCAATGGCACTCGGATATGAACTTGGGCTGAAGCTTGAGTCATCATGACCAAGTTCCCATGCAGAATTCAGCGATATTTCTAACAATCAACTCATGATGTTGCATTATTTCCTTATTTCCATTGTTTTCATGATGTCATGATGTTACATCAATTTCACGATGTTACACCATGACTTGTCGTCACATGCTTTTTTGGTATTTTTCATGTTTTCATAATCTATCATCATGCTGGAAATTTTCATTTGAGTTAATCATTCTCACGGCTTTTCAAAATTTTCATGTTTTTTGATGGTTGTGCATCGTCATTTTCATCATGTTCATGAACTTCTTCATTTTCATGCAGTTTATGATTGTCCATCATTGTCGCTATTGTTAATTGTTTTTCATGATTTCCCATCATTCATCATGTTTCATCATTTGTCAGTTTTTTCCCTTTTTTTCTATCGGTTTTCATGATTTCTCATAAGATCTATATGTTCTCGTCACGTTACTCTGACGTCTCAATCTCTATCTATGATGCTTCATCATTTTCAATCATTTTACCGTGTTCATCAATTTCATCATTTTCTCAGTATTTATGAGTTTTCAACCACTTGTTTTTTGGTCTTTATTTGTTTTTTGATTTTCAGATTGTTTTTGATCTCCGGGTTGTTTTTTTTTTGGCCCTGCAAATTCCAATGACTTGTCATGAGTTTTCAACCACTGTTTTTTTTGATCGCCGGATGTGGCCTCGCTTTACTTTTGATGCGCAGATTTTGTTTTTTGTTGATACTTATTTGTTTTTTAGTCCTCCACCCCGTGCGTGGTCCCGGTCGCGCCCTCTTCGGCGCGGGTCCTGCGGCGGTTGCCGTGGCCAACACTTGTTCCGCAGCTGGGTGAATCAAGCTGCATGTCCGCCTTAAAAGCGGGTTTTGTTTGATTCTTCGCCAACTTGCATTGTGCCGCTGCAGTATGTTGGTGTCTTCCTGATTACCTGGTGTGTAGTAGCCAGTGCCGTGCGGACGGGCCAGGCTTGGATCGTACAGTGCATGCATCCTCGAGGTTTCTCACCCAGCGGGAGTACCAAAATCACCTCA